GCGCTTTGGAGCGTCACTTACTATGGAAAGCTAATTGACATTATTGAGTTGAGTTACCAGCTTTTCACCGTGACACTGTTCAAGTGCTCCTGGGCAAATACGACAACTTCACGGGGACTCGCTACTGACCATTTGGGCATCACCTCAGTTAATTTCTCTAGACTTATTCATACGGGGGCATCTGAAGATGATGAGCCATATATCCTTGCTTCTGAGGCACACCAAATTTACTATGTCGAGGACGAGAAACATAAAGACTGGAATATGGTCGTTCACCTCAAGCCACGGGATCTTTATGATATGGGTGATGGTGACATTATTTACGACAGTGAACCCTTCCAACCCTCGAATTTTGAAGACTTCTTTCCTCAAGGAGATGATAATTTGCCAATTATCAGGTACACGTCTTTTCTTAAATTATTTAAATAATTAACTACTAATTACTAATTTTTTCCAAATACATTATAAATTTAACAAATTTTTTTAAAATGTGTCCTTTCAGGCCGGATGATGATGGAGAATAGCAGCATCCAAAATAAATTATTTAAAAAATTTTCCGCCCATAAATACATATGTATAAATTAAAATTCGTACAGTTTTTTTAAAAATAAAAAAAATTTCATTTGTAGCGGTTACATAAACCGCTACAAATTTATTTTACAAAATTGTAATTTGTAGCGGTTATTAACCGCTACAAATACATATCTATAAATTAAAATTCGTTCAGATTTTAAAAAATAAAAAAACTAAATTTGTAGCGGTTAATAACCGCTACAAATATAACCGCTACAAAATACTAGCGCTTATATATACGTTAGAAAATGAATAACAGCTACAAAATGCAATAAAACGCTACAAAAACACCGCTACAAATGTGTCGCTGATCTCTATAAATACCATATCTTCTCTACATTCATTTACTCCATCTCTTTTCTTTCCTCTCCTGTTCTTCTTCATAATTCTCTCTTTTTTTCTTACTATCTCATATGGTGGTTTTTTTCTCTTTACTGTATGGTAAGTGAATTTTATTTTATAATTCATTGTATCTTTTATTTGTTTTTATTTAAAATTTACTAACATATTTATTTCTCCTTTTCTTTCAGATTTTTCTTCTCCACACTTGTCATGCCCTCCTCAACTGATTCAAATACTCATCAACCTAACACTATAGGTTCAATATTACAAAATATATCATCTTCAATTCAACTATCTTATTAAATATTCAATTAAATTATCTTATTAAATTAAATTCACTTCTTTTGACACATTCATAATTTAATTACATATTGTTTATTACAAAATATAAATATATAAAATGTAACATATAACTAATTATACAAATTAACAAAAATTCTTCAACATAATTTATTTAATGGTTTTTAAAATTATAATATGAAAAACCATAAAAAAATTTTTCTGGCACGGTAAACATTTCTAGCGGTTCCGAACCGCTAGAAATATTTCGTCAAATTTAAATTTTGCGCCAAAAGTTCTAGCGGTTCAAACCGCTAGAAATTTTTTTGGCCGCCATTCCTAAAATTCAATTGGCGGGAAAATTTAATTTTCCAAACATTTCTAGCGGTTCTATGACCGCTAGAAATTTCCGCGCGCTACTGAAATTATTTAATTCCCGGCAAAATAGATTTGGTTTAGCATGTTTCTAGCGGTTATAAAACCGCTAGAAATTTTTTTCCGGGAACATTTTCTAGCGGTTTTATAACCGCTAGGAATGTTTCTCCTTCAGATATTTTCTAGCGGTTAGAAACCGCTAGAAAGTTTCTATCGTTTTGACCAAGATGTGTAGCGGTTGTAATAACCGCTAGAAATTTTTTCTTGCACCTGTTTTTCTAGCGGTTTCCTTAACCGCTACAAATTTGATTTGTTGCGGTTAAAACCGCTAGAAATGTATCACTCTAACCGCTACAATTGACATATTTTTTTGTAGTGTAAATTTGACTTCTCTTTTTTTTTTGTTTTATCATTTTCATACTAATAAAATAGTTATTAAACATGAATTATATGTCTATACTTGAGGTTTTGAGACTAATTTAATTATATAATTATATAAAAATATAAGTATAAAAAGAATTTAATCTATAAAACTTTGTAATTTAATTTAAAATTTTAAAAATAATGTGTAAAAAAAAAATGGAGGTTGGTTGGTTCCACTCTTTGGTGGGGTAGGCTGGCTAAATGTAATCCTGCTAAGAAACAGTCCTTTTAAAATTGGCCCGCATGGGCTCCAAACTCATAATAAGATGGCTCGTAATTAGTAAGCTAGCTCGTATTACCATATCTACTTATAGATAATTTTAAACATGATTCCAACAGGATCTAAACGCCCTGACAGGATGCGTTCGGCCAACAAAAAGAACAAATTAATGAGTTGCTTGTAGATTTTTTGCTAATGGGCTCCTCACCATTTTTTTCAAATTATACTCCTCCGGTCCTTAATATAATATCTATTTAACTAATTTGATTAGATTAAGGAAGTTAGGTAAGTTAGTTAATTATAAGAAAAGTGACACATTTTTCCTAAAATACCATAATCATCTTTTTTAATATCCTCTTTCCCTCTTCTACTTGATTATAGTTGAGGGAATATCCATAGGGGTAATTTAGAGAAAAATGATAAATATGAGAAATGGATCTTATATTTAGGACCAAAACCAACTCAAGAATTGGGTCCTATATTAAGGACCGGAGGAGTAACTATCAATTCCGGTGCTCATGATATGATAACAACAGGTAACGCAGATGCTAGATGCTCACCTAGTGACATATAAGTCGCAGTAAAATACAAGCCTTAAAACGAAACTTTTTTAAATAAAATTTAGTTATCCTCAGCATTAGGGAAAATTTTCGCATGTAAGTAAATGGTGCTTGAATTTGGAAATTCTCGAATAGTCACTTATACAAAGAAAATTTTCTTTCAGCCAGACATGACCAAATAAGAAAATAGTAATTTGATAGGACGATCATATTATCCTTATGAATTAGAAAACCTCTTGTGAAAATGACACTTCTTTAATTTTTTGAAAAACCTACCATTAACAACAATACCAAACTTGTCAATAATGTTAAATAACTTGTTAATCGTGTTATAGGAGTTGAATTTTTTTATTTATTATATACTAACTAATCTCTCAAAGTATAAAAAGCTCTTAGATCATGTGGTTAATGGCATTATAAGAGTTATTAATATTGTTACATGACTTCTTAAGCATGTTACTGAAATTTTAAAAATAACATTTCTTTGATTTCCTAAAAAACATATTGTTAACAGTAATACCAAACTTGTTAATAATGTTAAATAACTTTTTAACTGTGTTATAAGAATTGAAAATTTTTCCATTTATTATGCACTAACTAATCTCTCTAAGTGTAAAAAGCTTTCACATGATGTGGTTAATAGTGTTATAAGAGTTGTTAATAATATTACATGATTTGTTAACTGTGATACTGAAGTTATAAAAAAACCCTTTCGTTAATTCATGAGGGCAATATGGTCATTCCATCAAATTAGAAAATCCCCATTTGATTATATACGACTGAAAGGAAATTTTTCTTATTCAAATGATTATTTGGGGATTTACAAATTCAACAATCACTTTATGTCATTTTTTCAAAATGATATTAGGAAAGTCCATTCATATATATAAAAAAGAATTCATTTACCCATTAGAGAAGTTTATTTGCAAAATAGAAAACTTCATTTGCACATTATCCCCTTACCTCGGCATTTTAAGCATTCTCCCTACACCTTTATTTACTTTAAAGTACTATGTCAGGTGCTTAATATAAAAACTTCTTAACTAATTTGAGTAGATTAAGAAAATTAACTAAATCAGTTATTATCTTTTCTAAAATATCTTGCTAACCAAATGTATTAGTTAGAACTACTATTTAATAAAATATTTAACATGTGCAATTACTATAAAGATTACCTTGAGAAAAATAGATAAATATGAGAGATAAAATGAATTAGAATCTTATTTAGGAGTAAATTTAATATCAAGCTAATTCTTATATTAAGGAGATGAGGTAATATCTAATATCCCTTCCAAATTTTAGGCATCATGATCATATTAATATCAGTCAAATCCCACTAGATCCTATTTATAGGATAGAAAGAGAAATTTTTCATATGAATATACAACTTTACCTTTCATTTATTGTTGTATTGACTTTGTTCCCATGAAATATATCGTATATTAAATAGAAATAAAGTTGAAAAGTTTGTTGAATTTTAAATAAGAGTTAATGAAGTTTAAAGTTCTTATTGGTTTGTGTGAAACATATTGAAAGTGACTTATAAATAGAATTAGAGATAATTAATACCAGTCAACTCCAAAAAATTTTAAATTTTACTATACCTCTAGAGACCAAAATTTTATAAATAAAAGGACAAGAATTCTCTTTTGTTTTTTTGTTTTTGTAAATCGTCAAATATGAAGTTTTGTTCTCTTAACAAAAGAGATTTGCAAAGGCATTTCTCTTGAATGTTTGGAAAATATTATCTTTTAAGAGGACATGAAGAATCCCAACTTCGACATGTTTTGCCAGAAGAACTCCAGTTTGAACTTTATTGAATGATTGCTTCACTCCAACGAGAAGTTTCTCAACTTGCTCTTGGAGAAATTAATCAATTAAACATTGGCTACATTAGACAAGATAAGTGACTAACAAACACTTCTCAAATCCATGATGAGAGAAAATACTAAGTTCAAAGCAGCTTGTGAGCACTCTTATCTCAATATCAAATCTAAGGATAAGAAGAATTGTGATTGTACTTCTAGAAAGAAGCCTCAATACAGGAAATATAAATTTCCTCAAAAGTACAAGAAAAAGCCTTTTAGATACTTTAAGAAGAGACAATCTCATAGGATCATGGTCGGATTTTTTTTTATACACAAGATCCTCATATGAGGCAAGTGTAAAGCATATTTGAATCCTCGAGATAGATAGAATAAGCTTTCAAAAAGAGAAAAAGTTTGGAGAGATGTTATGGAAAACATATTTTCAATCATAAGAAGTAATTTCAATTCTCGATGCCCCCTTAGAAGACCAAAGGCTCGTTTACATAGACTTTCAAACTAAGTAGAAGACAAATTTGAATTATTATATCCAATAATATAATCTTACTATATAAAAATAAAGATTCCAAACAAAAATAAAAGCACACAAAGTTAAAGTGACAACTGATAAAAGTAAAAGCACACCTCACACTTATACTTAAAGCAAACATAAAGTAGATGGCATGGCAGAAATGATGATGAAGAAATCTTTGCTAGGTCAATAGTGTTCGTAGATAGGCTCGTGATCTATGCTGAGATCAGTGTAGTCTTCATCATAACCAATGTATTTAGAGTAGTCACTTTTGTATTGCTTATCAGTCTTGTATTCTTCTTCTAGAACTTGATCATGTGGTAACTTTAGCTGAGAAAATTGGAGACCTTCTAGTTAGGTAGGTTGGAAGATGTCTTGGCTTGGCTGGGACTGTGAACTTACTTGATTTAGATCCTGAGATTTTCCTTTGAGAACTGGAGGCGTGATTGTAACACCTTACTTTTATACCCAATAGCACATCAAATGGAAACATTTGAGATCACATTTGTTTGCGGCAATATTAGAAAATCAAGTTTTTAAAAATTTTGTTCACGGGCTACTATTCATAGCAACCCTTTAAAATTTTGATCAACTTTAGAAAATCATAACTAATTATAAAAAAAATCAAAATGTATTGCTTTTAAGTTCTATTTGAAGCTTTATTAATTATTTGTATGGAAAAAAAAAACTCAGTGGTCTCATTACCTCCCCATTCGAATCTAATTTTAAGCCACAATGATACTATTTATTTGGTTATTTTCTAATTTTTTAGAATTTATGCCTAACTTTAGAAAAGCATTACTTTTTGTATAAAACTTTAATTTTAATAAATTACCACCCATTTTAAAACTTAAAATGATATCTGACAATTTGCCAAATTTCATGATCCCACTCCACTATTTACCCATATTTACATGGTGACTAAATTAGACCATTATTATGTCATTTTTATCACTTATTATGCCATTTCTTGAGAATTCTTGCTTTTCTCAAATCATAAAATCATGACTCAAACATAATGATATATTAAAAAAAATAGCTATGTTTTGAACCACTATATAGCTATTAGATTATTCATACATAACTTTTACAAATTATACAAAGCAAGCCTCAAGAGCATAATTTTTCATCAAGGGAGTCCTCATGTCAACTCCATTTTCTTTCATTTACTTCTTGATAAGTCAACCCTTAGATGGTATAATTTAAACATGGAAAGGGGTGAGATTTCAAAAAAAAAATCTCAATAGCAATAAATCATAAGAATTATGCTAAACATGTAATGTTATCTCATGCTATACAATTATCATGCACATCTCATGCATAACTATTATCAATAGCATGACATGGAAAGGGAGCATGCTATCATACCACTCTACAACTCAATTATGCATATTGCCAAGAAATCAAATACAAGGAGTTCAATTCAACACATTATATCAATTTAACATAAAAATTGAAAGTTCTTGCTACCTTCTTAAAGCCTCAACTCTTACCTCCCTTCCTTGCTCTTGGAGCGCTTCTCTTGCTAATGCCTAATCCCTATCAAGCATTCAAGAAGGAATTCTCAATCACAATCCAAATCAACATATTCATACTTAATTCTCTTTAACTTCACATTAACTTTTAACTTTTGAGCTTGGTTTTGTAATCTTTCTAAATTTAATTTTACATGCTATTCTTACATAATTTTGTTTGTAGAATTCATTTCCAAGCTCAAATTAAACAAAATCCAACTCCTTCTCTTTAAACTTAGCTTGGCCGAACACGTTAGGTTTTTAGGACAAAACTTCTATTTTCAATTCTAATGCTTCCAACCTTACTTTCCCATCTTTACTCCACATAATTTTTCATTATAAACTCATTGAAAGCATCCAAGTCATCAAAATCCAACCTTAGAAAGAACCCAAGGTCTGGTCGAAATTCACCCCATGTTAGGAGAAGTTGGATTTCTTGCAAATTTATCACGAAACCACTTGATTCTTGTTTCTTTTAAGCCTTTAAATATTATTCTAACATCAATTTCATCTTATTCTTACTTAGTCAAGTTGGTGCAATAGCATACCCTAGGGTTTCAAGCTACCAAAATCCAACAAAATCTATAACCAAGCTCAACAACAAGGGTAATGAAAACTATATCAAAAACCATAAACATACCTTGTTTTGGAGCTTGATCTTGCTTGGTTTTCCTTGCTCTTTATCTTCTCCTCCTTCCTCTTCAATTCGATCTCTTCCTCTCCTTTCTCTATATTGGCCGAAACTTGGCCTAAATGGAGAGGGAAGGTATTTATAGAAATTTTGCTCAAATCCTAGCTTTTGATCTTTTATGTGTGGCTCAATTTTAGACATTCATTTAATCTATTTGCATTGTGCCCCTTGTCATCTTGATTCTTGACATCTAGCCCTCTTAGGTGTCCTCTTTATTGAATATAAATGCCACCTCGATAGGAGACAACATCTCACATGTGATCATAAGTAATACTTTATTACATAATCCCATTCTTCCAAACTTAACCCTCAACAAAGTGTATTATTCCACTCATGTCCCTTCATTATTTTGGCATTAAACTAGAGAGGAAATTAATAGGAAATTCGTACAAAATACAATCCCTAGGTATTCCTCCATCGATTTTGCCATTTTACATCATATCAGGTACTTTTTAGGGTCCTAACTTACCTGGTAACCTTGGGATATGTTCTGGAACCCTTTTTCCATCACTATTAACTTCACATGGCATTATATAACATTTCTAGAGAAGAAGTGATGCTCTTCCCTTGTTCTTTCATTAAAATAATTAATAATATCTATTTTGGAGTAAACTTGACCAAATTCTTTCTATCGCTTCACAACTCTGAGAATCTCTCTCTAGGTACTGATATTATTTATTCATCACGAGAAATTTTTCTAATTTTTCTTAAGTCAAAAGTCAACCCATAAACTGTTTATTTTAACTTTCCCTTGATAATGTATAAATAAGCTTTCAATTTTATTAAAGCCAACATCTTTATTTTCTGGAAACAATTATTTTTAAAACCTATGATAATTTCTCAAGTATTATTACTAATTTTTATCCAATCATCTAAGGCTCTTCAGAGTTTAAATAATTCAATTTCTGCTAATATTCATAATTAGACAAACCCAAGGAATTCCATAAATTCCTTCTAGGGGTATTTTCATTATTTTTACAATTTTTTATTTTCTGCAATTTTCTAAAATTTTTGGGCGTACTTTCCATTACTATTCTTTTTGGCCCAAAACTTTTTAAATTTACGATTAGGTCCTTGCTCGGATTTAACCTCCAGAATCCTCTTACTGAGGTTTCTAACATAAACTCTAGCCCTTTATCACCTCAATTCCTCATATTCGACCCCCTGAGACTTTAATGGAGTTTCTATCTTCCTCTTTTTTAAATCTCAAAAAAATTTTGCTTTACGATTTAACCCCTAAGAATCTCTTTGTCCCTCTAAGGAATATCTGGGATTCTTACCAAAAGGATTCTAGTAGCTTTTTTGTCTCAGACTACTTTTTGTACTTCAAAGCCTAAAATTTTGGGATGTTACAATAATGGCTTGTAAGACAAAGTTTCTTTGGAATTCTTGTAACGTGAGGGTTGATGGACTAGGAGAACTAGGAGAAAAAGGTCTAAGAGGGAGACCTGGAGAATCTTCACCAGTATCTAGTTTATTAAGTGCAGTTAAAGTTTGTCTTAATTTCTTTATTATCTGACTCATATTTAGGCCATACAACAGAAGTGTTCCAGAAATTCAAATAGTTGTTTGTATAAAGACTTCTATCAATGTCTCTTTCATAATACCCAAAATTGCAAAAAAAACCAAAAAAACTTTTCTTGCTTTGATGTTAGCGCGTTCCACGCATTATATTCATTAGGAAGATTATAAAGTTTTCCTCTCCAGTAGGATAGAGGAGCAAACATTTGAAAAGAGTAACAAGATGAGAATTTTGGTTCCTAGAATCACAAAGGTAATGATAAATGGATAAGGCTAGGAAGGCTATGGCACAGGTATGGATGGTTGAAATAGTCTAGAGATATCATAACAGTTCCTCTGGAATGTGTCCTTTAATAATAGGGATGGTAAGGTAAGGAGCGTCTAGGCCAAAGTACTGGGGCTAAGGATGGATTTGGGTGTTGACAAACAGAAGTTGGAGCCAATAGAACAAAGTTCCTTTGGCAAGGTTGTGAACATCAATAGGTGCTTTAGGTCATGATCCTAAAGGGAAAATGGTGACTCTGACTCTATAAGGCATTTTTAGATGATGTGTAGTGATCGTTAGGAGAAGAATGCTAAGGGCTTTTTTGCGTGTGAGAAATTGAACTTTGGGTGGTCTAGAAAGATAATCAACAAGTGTGTTATGGTGTCATTTGATGTGTCTTACTGTGAATTTATAGCGGGAGTATTTGTCTTTCCACCTGAGCAGCTATGCATATGGATATGTCTTTATTTTTTTTAAAAAAGCATGGAGGGAAATGAAGTATTATCCATCTCAACAATAAAGTTGAAAGGATTAAGGTGAAAATTGAATTTTTCAGTTCCTCTTTTTTTCTTGCCAAAATTTTTTTATAGGTAGTGTGATGATGTTTTTCTAATTCTTTGAATATTCCGCTTGCATATCCACAATAGTATGTTTTTCCAATCAACTTCTTCAGGAAGGACTGCACCCCAATAATGATCACTTGCATTTATCTGCAAGATTCTTTGTCCATTTCCTAAAATTTTGAGTGGTGGTGGATTTTGTGTTATCTCTTTGAACTTTTTTACTACAGTAATTTGGTCTTTACCCCATGGGATATGGTTCGTTTTGAGGAGTTTGGACAAGTGACTTGTGTGTCTGGTCACATTAGGAATAAAGATATAGACACAATTAACTATGCACAATAACTGCTGAATCTACTTTATTGACAAGTTGTAATTTGAAAAGTTGAGTAATTTTTGTATAATGTGTGGGCCAAGTTGATAGAATCTATTATAAAATATTGTTGAAACTCAATTTGGGCTTGGGTTATAAGGCCTTTTTTAGAAGAAAGCATTCTCCCTTGTTAGTCCACAATATCAGCAAATTGGGCTAGAGCTGGGAAAACGGGTCGAGCCCGTTAAGCTAGCCCGTTTAGGTCCAAAAATTATGAGGGCTTGGCTTGAAATGTTTTTTCTAAAATAGAAAATAGGCCCTACAGGGCTCACCCTGTAGAGTCGAGGGTTTAAAAGGGCCAGTCCTGCAGCTATTTATGCCATTTTATAATTTTTTTTTGAACAGTTTATTGTCTAATTCTAATATTATTAATTTTTTACATTGTTAATGATATTTCAAATATTTAGTTGTTATTATTATTTTAAAATTAAATTTCACAGAATTATTTGATTTATTTAGTTTTAGCTAATAATTTGTCTAATTAAATTTTTAAAAAATGGGTTAATTTAGACTTTAATAATGATTTGATTTATATTATATATGTTGATTTTTTTAAACTATATAAATTTGATAAGAGAGTATTTTTATACTTATATAACTTGTGATTCTATGATTTAAATTAGAAATTTATGAGTTTCAGCAATAATATTTCTCAAACTAAAATAAAATAATAGTTAGACTGTAAAATTTAAAAGTAAAATTTCTATAAAGAAGAAAAACTTGATATTTTTGTTACGGAAAAAAAGTATATTTATGAAGAAGAGTAATTGATTATAGTGATGATGAAGTTTTAAAAGATTAATGATAGTGTTTGTTTATTGCACATTTACACTATAGATAAAACTTTTGGATGTTGTTATCTTGTTAATGAATGTTTTATATGTTTTTAAATGTTGATGGATATTTATATATAATGATATTTTGTATTTATGACTTAATTTTATTCATATTTATGTCTTTTATTAACAATTTTATTGGTTTATTTTTATTTTTTTGATAAAAAATATGAGAAATATAAAAATAACAATTTTTTCCTTAAACGGGCTGAAAGCTTGTAGGCCAGCCTTAAGTCTGTTAGCTTAAAAGCCAGATCTAACAAATTAGGATATTTTTAAAATTTTAGCCCTATAAAGCCGGCCTGTATTTCCACCTCTAAATTGGGCTAATAATTTTTTTGTGAATCCTCATCTTCAGGAAACAAAAGAATATCATCAATATAAACCAAACCACTGTCAAGGATGAGTTCAAATATTTTTGTCATAGTTTTCTAAAATAACGATAGAATAACTTTTAGTCCGAATGGCATATCTGTCTATTGATACTAAGCATGAGAGATACAAAATGCATTTGTGTCTGTCTTTAAGATGTATGTCTAGTTGTCAGAAGTTTGCTTTAAGATCCAATTTTGGAAATAACTTTATCTTGCTCACATTAAACAATTGAATTTGGAATTATGAATTTCCGTATTTTTCTTGAAAATAATCAGAAGCGCTCGTTCTTTGCTGTGCGGGATTCAGCTTCTCTCCTCCATTTAACTCTCCATAGCCTAGAGGCCAAGTCGCGGGCGGTGCGAAAAAAGGGCAAAATGACTTAACGAGGACAGAGGCGCTGAAATGGGAGAAAGGCTAATTATTTTAACAATAGATTAATATCAATTGTATGCATTTTATCAAATCACAAAATATCTGTGTTTCAAAAAAAATAAAATAAAACAAATAAATTAATTGAGTAAAATAATTGGGATAAGTTGCATACATTCATCATGTTGAAATATTGTTTTGGTAATATTTTGTATCCTAAAATAATTATTTGTATACTCAAAATCCTAAAATAATTTTTTCAGTAATAATCTTTATCTTAAAATAATCTTTTAGGACATTCATTGTTTTAAAATATTTTTCTAGACGTACCCAGTTTTCTAAATTTAGTGTCCTTATTACTACTGAGAAAATACTTTAAGGTAAAATTGTACCAGAAGTTACTTAAAAATACTGAGTGCTATTGAAAAAATATTTTAAAATGTTAAATACATTAAAAAATACATTAAGATACTGATTATTATTTGAAATATACTTCATGGTACAAAATGGGGCCTCCTGAAATATTTTCTCAATGGGAGCACATTTAAACTTAAGATTTTGGGTGTTCCTAGAAAATATTTTAGAGTATTGAATATTTTAAAAAATTATTTTAGGCTACAGATTGTTATTGAGTGCACAGATAATTACTTTAGGGGTATGAAGTATCACTAAAATAATATTTCAAGATCTTAAATATTCATTATCGCAATTATTTTACTCACTGAATTTATTTGTTTTATTTTAATTGTTTATTAAAACAGAAATATTTTGTGATTTGATAAAATGCATAACATTGATATTAATTTATTGTCAAAATAATTAGCTTTCTCCCGTTTCAGCGCCTCTGGTCCTCGCTTTGCCCAAACTTCGCATGGCGCACGGCCTACTCTCCAGGCAGCGGAGAGAAAGGCAGAGGAGAGAAGCTAAATCCGTGATACGGTAGATATGCGTATGGGGAAGTGTGACAACTTGTAATATTTTCAGATTTGACGTACTGGAGATTGTGAGTATTATTATTTAAAATTTTAATAATGTTGAAATTATTAAATTATATACATAAAATATATCTTATAAAGCTTATATTCTCCTCAATCATTTTATATTTATACGTGTTTCCAATTATATCATCCAAACATCAAATAAGTTTTAACTTGTTAAATTGACACTTTTTTTAATAAAAATCAATACAAACATAAATTATGTTACACACCGTCTGATTTTTATCTGAAGTTTGTAAAAATCATATGAAATAAAAATCATTTATCCTAAAGCAATGGAGACTGAAGAGAGGCAAAAGTCAAACAGTAGCATAAAGGGGAAAGGTAACTAAGCAAAGGGGGGCAGCTCAAAAAAAAAAAAAAACTAAGCAAAGGGGGGAAAAAACTAGCAGAAGTCTATGTTTGATACCCTTCTCATCAATGTATCGTACGTCCTTGCTCCAAAATTTCTTCACCAAATTAATTATGGAAGTCAAATCCTACACCTTTCCTCTACACTACAGTTCCACTTTTAGCTAAGGCCACATATATGAATCTTCCAGCCCTGCCCATATCTCACGCAAAATCCTAATAAAACTTAAATTTTGCACCTCACAAAAAGGCCTCAGTATAATTTATGGCCAACGATCAGTCCTATTAGATCACAGTGTTTTTAGCTAAGCAATTAATATTCCCAACAACTTCTCCGTCCAAAACCTCAAAAGATCAAACTTTCATTAAATATTCCAAACCAATATTTATTAGTATATATCACAGGCCTTTCTATCTCTCTTGTTAACCATCGCTACTCTGCTCTCGCACCACACAATGGAAGGCCAAAGAAGCAAAGTAGTGTTGGCACGCGGCTTCTTGTCTTACTGCTTCTTCCTTTTTTGTGTTCAGTTGCTTTCTCTGGCCACCGGAAGTATCGGCGGTAAGGTTCCGGCTATCATCGTGTTCGGAGACTCCTCGGTGGACGCCGGCAATAACAACTTCATCCCCACCGTTGCTCGGAGCAATTTCGAGCCGTATGGTCGGGACTTTCAGGGTGGGAACCCGACAGGGAGGTTCTGTAATGGAAGAATACCCACAGATTTCATATCTGAAGCTTTTAGAATCAAACCAAGCATACCTGCGTATTTGGATCCAAAATATAATATATCAGATTTTGCTTCTGGAGTTACCTTTGCTTCTGCTGCAACGGGTTATGATAATGCAACTTCAGATGTGCTGGTAATATGTTTTAGCCTACACACACACACACATGCAAGATGGTGGTTCTTTTTTCTTTTTTCAATTGTTAACTATATAAGAGACTCCTTCGATTTTGATTTGTCAAAAAGAAAATTATTTTTTTTCCTATGATGTCATTCGACTTTTCATATATTTTTTCTATCTAGAAATTTTTCTTTAACTTAATATTTATTGTTGAATAAGAATTTTTTGTAATTAAATTTATTTTATTTTTTTGTTTTTTGATAAAAAATTCATTTTTGTCTTGGTTCAAAAAATATTTTAATTGTTAATATCACAATACAATTAAATAAAGTTAGGAAAATTTATTTTTGGTATATTTTTAATTTATTTTTTCTAATTTAAAAAACTATAATTCAGGTATAATAGTTTAAACATTTTTTAATTTAGTCCCTATTTTATTAGTCAATATTCTATTACATATTGAAATAACCGTTGCATCATCATTATTATTTTTTGACCAAGACTTCTACATATCAACAATTTTGATTACTCTTATTGCAATAAATCAAAAAATTTCCACATAAATCCTCATAAAATTTTAACTCCAGCGACAAAAGTGAACATTTTGTAGACTAGGAGTGTTCAACAACAAAGCTTTTTAAAAGAGTTATTTAGGTATGTTTAGCATATTTTTGAGTCATCCAACATCTTAAATATTTTTTTAAATATTTTTTATAGTTACATTTAACACCTTAAAATATTTTTTTTAATATAGGAGTTAGATGACTAAATTATAGTTATATTTAACACCCTAAGATATACTATTTTTTTTAATATAGGAGTTAATAACTAAATTATAAATATTAAGAAAATTAATTAAATTAGTTATTTATTTTTAAATTTTTTTTATTAATATATGTATTAGAATCGAAACATTTTAAAATGTGTAATCACTTAAAAAATAAATAAATATAAAAAATAAAGTAATTTAATTATTTATACTTAAAACAAATTGAATCTTCAAATAATTTTTATATTTAAAACAGGAAGTAATATTATAGTGCCCATTTGCGCTCCAAATACTAGTGTGCTAGGCACATCTAGAAAAATCCTAGAAAAATATTTTAGGATTGACTAAATCATAACCCTGTAGGGCCCAGCAGATTAAGCATTTAAGTTTAGCACCGAAATTATAGCTATAGGTACCATCGAATACGTATTCGCGGGACAATAACATGATGCCCCCCATATCTGCAATAATTGCAGTCCGTGATACCATTATGGAAGCAGCTAGAATTCTACAAGGCATACCAGAAGAACCTCAGAGCCTACCTCGGAGAAAGGGCGGCCAGCCGGACGATCAGCGAAGCACTCCACATAATGAGCCTCGGAACAAACGACTTCCTGGAGAACTACTACACCATGCCGCGTCGGTCATCGGAGTACACGCCGCAACAGTACGAGGACTTTCTGGTTGGGATCGCAGGCACCTTCGTCCGGCAACTGTACGGCCTCGGCGCGAGGAAGATATCACTCGGAGGCCTGCCGCCGATGGGGTGCTTGCCGTTGGAGAGGACGACGAATGTTGGTGGCGGGAACGAGTGTGTGAAAAGGTACAATGACGTAGCCCTAGAGTTCAACGGAAAGCTCAAGGATTTGACCGCCTCGCTGAACAAGGAGCTTCCTGGGATCAGATTGGTGTTTTCGAATCCATATTATATGATGCTGCATATCATCAGAAAACCTGCTCAGTATGGTAAGTCCCAAATAAGACATGCTCCATATATATTGCTCTCGTCGTAAATATAAAATATAAATTAGTTAGAGAGTTTGATTTGGTTTTGTATAGGCTAAAATACATAAAATCTCTTTGAATTTTGGGTTACTTGCATATCATTGTTTAGGAAATTTAAATTAAGAATTATGATATTTTATGTTTTAACTATCAACTCTTCTACTGTTAAAATTAACGGCTTTTGTCATATTAAAATTTATAGACACATGTTTTCAAATGACACAATGTATAATAAAATGAAAAATACTTACGTCATGTTTCTTATATTTATTATTTTAAAATTTTTAATTATATATAGTCATGTGTTTTATTTTTTTTCATCTGAATTTATAGTTAAATGATAATATTTTGAAAATAGGACGTATATCTATGAGTAATTGGAAAACTTGATATAATAGATATAATAAATCTGATTTCATTAAGTATTATCCTGATAAAAAATATAAAAATTTTGACACGGCAAAAACGGTTAACTTTAATAATAATTTTAATGGTAGGGGAGTACATAGTTGAAACATTAAAACATTAGGGTTCTAAACCCTAATCTACCTTTTTTTTTAATTAAAAAGTTTTAGTTTCCAATGCCCATAATCAAATGGGTATTTAAAGAAACATACTCCTCTGGTCTTTAATATAATATAAGACCTATTTAACTAATTTGATTATATTAAGAAAGTTAGGTAAATTAGTTAATTATAAGAAATATGATATGTTTTTCCTAAAACATTGTAATTATCTTCATTAATATTTTCCCTCCCTCTTTTACTTCATTATAGTTGAGGGAGTATCCATAGGGTAACTTAGAAAAACTTAATAAATATAAGAAATAAATCTTATATTTATGATCAAAATCAACATAATAATTAGATCTTATATTAAAGATCAGAGGAGTGCATTTCTTATAAATAAAAAATTTAAATTCTGTTATTATAACTCCTTTCATTTAGGATGAGAGTAATTTAATTACTTACTAATCTCTTTACTACGTATATATTGAGCACTATAATCTTGTTAATGGGGAGACTGTGCCAATAAAAGATAATAATTTTGGAAAGGATTTTGAGTTTTTGACACATACGTCACACTCACTCACCCAGTCCTACATCCCATGGGGTCAATACACGTGTACACCAGCACATCAAAAAGCTTTGCCCAAAAATGTAAGGTTAAGAATTATTTTTGTCTTGAAAGTACTGCGAAGTAGCTTTTGGTAAATATTTATCATTTTTTTGGCTTAATTTTACTTCGGACATATTAAAAAATAAGTAATGTTACTATTTTAAAAAAAAAAACATGAACGATCAATATTATTTTTTTTAATGGAAAGAGTAAAATTGCTCCTATTTTACCATTTGCAGGGTGACATATTGAACAAAAAAATTCGGATACCCACAATTTTTTTGTGAAAATTTTCAGAACAAAAATTTTTCTTAACCCAAAAATTTATATATATATATATATATATGTTTTTGGCTAAGATTGGTTTATTGTTTAATTTATTTAATTCCTGAAAAAACATTTCGCAACAGGGTTTGAATCCACCTCAGTGGCATGTTGTGCGACTGGAATGTTTGAAATGGGATATGCATGCAGCAGAGGGAGCATGTTCAGCTGCACAGATGCTTCCAAATATGTCTTTTGGGACTCTTTCCATCCTTCTGAGAAAACCAATGCTCTCATAGCCGACCACGTTGTGAAGACTGTTTTAGCTGAGTTTTTAAAATACTAATAATTATAATCATAATCATAATAATAATAATAATATCTACTGTTCTTTGTTGTGTCAGTATATATATACATATTGCTGGTTAAAAAAAAAGAAGTATATGTATACATACATGTCCAGGTTCAGATGTGGCTTCAGATGTGGCTGTAAAATAAAATTATAGACGTTAATGTATATGACTATAAAATGTTCCGATGATGTTTAAGATGGAAAAAATAAGCCGAACATTCTGTACTGAGTGTTGTAATATTGTTTTCCTTGATGTGAATGATAGTGTGTGTGTGTTTTTTTTTTTAACTGTTGTAGTATACTATATAGCCATGTTTTCCTTTATACAAGGATTTGTATTCTTATTGCTTCCAAATTAATTTTTAGTATGAAAAAGAATATATTTTTATCTTTATACCCCTGCTCAATTATTTTAGTTTTATCCATATATATCTTATAATTTATAAAATTTTCAGTTGAGTCTATACCATTAAAATTAATTTCAACATATTTTATTTTACGTAATTAATTATACATAATATTTTAGACTTATGATGCTAAAACAAAATATAACTAATGGAGGTTAGGTTTAGTGAGAGGGTTTAACTCCTCACAATGTGTTAAACCAAGATTCAAGTTTGTATTGAAAGAGATGTCTGTATTTAGTGCTAACTGTGTCTCAAATAGAATTAGTTCCAATAAACATATACTTACAAGCAATTGAAAAACAGAGAGATTAATATGGATAAAATATAACCAAAATAAAAGTATGGATAATGTGCTATGCCACATTCATTAAAATCATGTGCTAATAATTAAGGGGGAGGGAGGGGAAAAATAAGTAGAGCATTCTATACTGAGTTGTAGTCCTGTTGTTCCTTCGTCTCATTCATAGAAATTTCAAATCTGTGCTTACTTGGATTATTAGTGAATCAGAAAAAAAAAAAATTCAATTCTCCTTCGTAGAATCAATCAGATGATATGATTGAAATGAAAATTCCTCTAGATCCTACGGAGTCAAACTTTTATGGGTTTCCTCCAACATTGTTTCCACATCACCTATGGAATTTCGGGACCTCCTTTGAAAAATAAATCTTTCATATAAACAACTGCTTTTCATTTGGAAGCTCATGCATAAAACTCTTCCTTCAACTGATATACTTAAAGAGCATCGCCTCAACTCTTCAGGGTTATGCATATGTTTAGCTATAACTTGGGAGAGACTTTAGATCATCTTTTCATCTCTTGCTCCCCCCTTTTTTTGAGCTATCTAGTTTGGATGTCTTTCTATTAGAATATCTACTCCTTTTGAGGAATTTCAAATTTGGTTCATTTCATTTATGGTTTGAATTATTTCATTCATGGACTAATATGCTTACTTAATACTATCTAGAGGAAAGAAACAAAATGCTTCATGAAGAGAAAAGGGATCATACTATTGCTGTGACCCAAGAAATCAAGAATACCAATTCTTTTTCAAATTGTGCATTTGATAATCTTAGATCCTCTTGCTCTGCTAAGCAGAGTCCCCTTTGTGAACATTTTCGTCTAAGCTTGAACAAATATGGTTGGGATGTGCTGCTATTCAAATACATAACAATGAGGAAATACTACAACTATGCTATTATTTGCTGCGAGGGGACATCCCTCAAGAAGTTCTTGTGGCAAAATCAAGCCTCTACATTTTCTACTTTTCATTGTAAATGTTTATGGACTGTTCTTTTATGGATCTATAATTTTAACCTACAAATCCCTACAGACAAGCCTTCTTTTTAAGTTCATCATGTTGAAAAGTGATTTCTTTATATTCCTCTCAATGATGTTTCTCTCCTTAACATCACTTGGCAAGAAATAGTTGCTTTTACTAATAATTTTTCATCCTTTAGTATTGATATTATTTCCAAATTGTGTTTTCTTGATTTTAATTCTGTTAAAGTAAAATTGTTCAGTATTTTTCACTTGTAAGTACCCTTATTATAAATGCATTTTCTCTTTGGCTAAAATTATCAAATGATATGATGGAACTTTTGTCACACCTGATACTAATACTTTCTTAAAACTTAATAGCTTACTTAATACCAACCAAAAGAAGTGCAAGAGCACAACAGTTTCTAAAACTAATAGACAATTTCTATGAAAACGTACACTTATTCTTGTATAAGATTACAAAATACTTGTCTGATTTTATGACTTATTTAACTAATTTGATTAGATTAAAAAGTTAGTTAAATTAGTTAATTATACTTTACTATATTCCTTTTTTTGAGAAACAACTACCACCTATAGTTTATGCCTACTTGTAAAAGACATTTAGATGATGTCTCAAATTTTCACTTTTAATTTCCTATTTTGTCTCCATTTAATTACTCATTTTAATATTAATATATTTATTATCACGCTACCCCTAAAGCATCATTCCCTCTTTTACTCAAATTCTCCCTCCACTACACATCATCTTCTTTCCATAATCCATAAACAGCTTCCTATAATCAATGAAAAAAAAATAGTGTTCCACTAAAGCTGATCAATGTTATGCGGATTCAATAAGGCTTATCACCTGAACAATTGTTCAAGTGCTGTATTCTTGCTTAATATGGTTTCATGGCCTGCGTGCAAGTCGTTGTTGAATGACATCTATGAGACATTTGCAACTAATCATGTGGTTTTGAAAATTCAAATTCAAATTCTACCTATGTCTCATGTTTTGTTAGACAAAGTCGGATATAAAAAGGTTAGTATAGCAAAATAGGGATACTATATTTGTTTTGGCCTTTTTTTTACACCGTGTTGCATATTGCTTTCATTGCTTTCTCTTGTATTTCCATTAAGATAAATCATATCTATCTTTTGGGGGGGTCCAGTTAGCCTTGGAGATCTAACGTATAGAAGGAGTAAGGGTTACATATTGGTAAAGGTTGACAGGGTTTTATTCTTGGAGAAAAGGCTATTTAGGAATAGTTACAGGTGAGCTTTCAGGATACTAGCCTCTGTCAACCTTTTGCTATTTGATGAAGTGGTTTGTGTTGTTATGATTGTATGTAAATTTTTTTTGTCCCTCACAAATTTTGTTTGCTTTGCTAGTTTTATTCTTCTAACACCAATGAATAGGGTACTCAAATGTTAGCAGCCATGGGAGATGATAGAGTCTTGGAATGTTTGGCTGGAAGGTTTAGACAAGGTCAAGCTTACAGGATTGCATATTTCTTTGTTAGGATGGATGGACGACAAGTCAGGTTTACATATCATATTTGCTTTGTGGAAAAGATGAGACTCATAGATGCCTAGGAGATCCTTCTGGAACATGGCTTATTTGTCTCATTTGTGGTGGCTATTGGGTGTGGATTTAATTGACTATGGGGTTTAGTTGGTAAGCTAACATTGTGACACAATTAAATAGCATTGTAATTTATGAAGGATTGATTTAAACTTTTTGGTTTTCTTTCTAATGGTTTTCAAACATGTCTGGATTTGTGAATGAATTTTGTAGACCTTGAGTGATTGAAGTAAATAGTGAATACTACAATGAGGTCACATTGTTTGTTTGACATAAGCAATCCAAGAGAGAAGGTATCATCTTCTTGTGCCATTATCATAGTCAATGAGTATCGAATAATGATATGCTGCTATACTTCATTTGTGGTTTTGAAGCTTCTCTGTAGGTATGTGATTACATGTACATTGCATAGAGAGTGTGTGAAGGCAATGCTTCGAGCATATCAAGTTGTATGTAATGAAGAGAGTATGTTTGTAGTTATACAATATGTTATGGATTTTTCCTTCTTTTTACCTGGTGAGTCTATATTACAAGTATGATTAGCTTGTAGCTTTTTTGTTTATGTACTTTTATTCTAACAATTTAATTTTTCTTTTATGAGGTTCTCATTTAACTTCATTTGCCCAAGCAACAAGCGATCTTTTAAATCCTACTATGGTTGTCCCCAAACTTACGAAAGAGGCTTTTGTCTTTTGCCTGCGAGAATGACGTTGAATTAGTGTGTGGAAAATATAGGCTTAGCTATTGTCAATCCTATGTTATAATATTAATTAAGTACTTAATATTGTGGTTGTTAATCCTATTTTATAATATTATAATATTAATTAATATTGTGGTGTATAGTTCTATTTTATGATAACGAAGTGAAATGTTTTGGCACTTGTGTTAACATGAAAACTATTCGTGTTATATTTAATTTATACATGATAATACCAATTGCCTACAAAAAGATCATGTGTGGGTATGCTCATGAAATTAACTAAACTGGAATGATGCCTTAGTGTAGCTAGTGAAGAGGATAAAGCCTAATTAGCCTTTTCTTCTTCTTTTTTTCCTTCCATATTTTGTGCATGTGACAATATCCATGTTTATGCTTCCTTATGTTAAGTTCAATTGAAAGCATCCATCAAAAAATTGCTCAACATATATAATAAAGTCACACACAAAAATTGAAATTTTGAGTTATTTACAATGAAGGAAGGCTGAGGCGAGTTATAAACAAACTATCTTTATTAAAATACCATGACAACTGACCTATAAGAGGTCAATACTTACTATCTCAATACAGATGGAAATTACTAGAAAAGACATAGATTAATATATATTTATCACTTATAAGGGATGCATTAAAATATTAAACATATAGACTAGACAAATTAGGAATATTATAGAACTGAAAGAAGTACCTATATTTTTATAACCAATAGTAATAAATAATTAACTTGTACCAAAATGCAACTAGTACTTACTATGTGTTCCTAATAGATAAGTCAATCTAGATTTATTATGAACCCTAAATCTTTACCCAACTATTAAGACGAAGGTAAGCTAAGGCCAAACCAAAACATCTCATCTTTGATCTTAGTTGTTGTCATCTTCTCCTTGGCTATCTATTACAATTTGAGGCTGGAAAAATACATTTGTTTTTTGATCTCAATCACTAGGTTCCTTTGCTTGGGTATGTTAGGCATGATAACGCCAAACCAATAAATTTCTTCTTCAATTTTAGTCGTTGGCATCTTTGTCTCTTGTATGTCTGTTAGGTTGAGTACAAGCCAATACAATTCTTCCTTGAGTTCTGTCATTGGTATCATCTCCTCTGGTCTATCTTGTGTTGTGCTTTGAATTTTAGTAACGATAAGAAAATATTGAGCAATGTTGTTGCTTCATATTGGAAAGATTTTTGTGTAGGAGGTTGTTAACATATTGTCTATCAACAAAGCATGATTAATACAATCTGGTATTTGAATGTGAAGGGAATTCTTATGCATGAGTATTGTGTGCAAGGACAAGTTTATGTTATCTATATTGTAGC